TGAGGGCGGGGGGAGTGAGGGCGCAGGGGGGGAGTGAGGGCGGGGGGGAGTGAGGGGCGGGGGGGGGGGGGAGAGGGCGCGGGGGGGGGAGTGAGGGCGCGGGGGGGGGAGTGAGGGCGGGGGGGGGGGAAGTGGGGGCGCGGGGGGGGGAGTGGGGCGCGGGGGGGGGGTAAGTGAGGGCGCGGGGGGGGTAAGTGAGGGCGCGGGGGGGGTAAGTGAGGGCGCGGGGGGGGGGTAAGTGAGGGCGCGGGGGGGGAAGTGAGGGCGGGGGGGGGAAGTGAGGGCGCGGGGGGGAAGTGAGGGCGCGGGGGGGAAGTGAGGGGCGCGGGGGGGGAGGGAGTGAGGGCGCGGGTGGGGGGGGGGAGGGGAGTGACGGCGCGGGGGGGAGGGAGTGAGGGCGCGGGGGGGGAGGGAGTGAGGGCGCGGGGGGGGAAAGTGAGGGCGCGGGGGGGGGGAAAGTGAAGGCGGGGGGGGGGGGGAAGTGAAGGCGGGGGGGGGGGGGGGGGGAGAAGTGAGGGCGCGGGGGGGGAGAAGTGAGAGCGCAGGGGGGGGAGAAGTGAGGGCGCAGGGGGGGGGGGGAGTGAGGGCACGGGGGGGGTGAGGGCACGGGAAGGTGAGGGCACGGGGGGGGGGAAGTGAGGGCGCGGGGGGGGGGGAAGTGAAGGCGCGGGGGGGGGAGAAGTGAGGGTGCGGGGGGGGGGAGAAGTGAGAGCGCAGGGGGGGGAGAAGTGAGGGTCACGGGGGGGGGAGAAGTGAGGGTGCAGGGGGGGGGGAGTTAGGGCGCAGGGGGGGGAGTGAGGGCGCGGGGGGGGGAGTGAGGGCGCGGGGGGGGGGAGTGAGGGCGCGGGGGGGGGGGGAAGTGGGGGCGCGGGGGGGAGTGGGGCGCGGGGGGGGGTATGTGAGGGCGCGGGGGGGGGTAAGTGAGGGCGCGGGGGGGGGGGTAAGTGAGGGCAGGGGGGGGGGAAGTGAGGGCGCGGGGGGAAGTGAGGGCGCGGGGGGGGGAAGTGAGGGCGCGGGGGGGAAGTGAGGGCGCGGGGGGGGGGGAGAGTGAGGGCGCGGGGGGGGAGGGAGTGAGGGCGCGGGGGGGGGGGGAGTGAGGGCGGGGGGGGGAGAAGTGAGGGCGCGGGGGGGGGAGTGAGGGCGCGGGGGGGGGAGAGTGAGGGCAGGGGGGGGGGAGTGAGGGCGCGGGGGGGGGAGTGAGGTCGCGGGGGGGGGGAGTGAGGGCACGGGGGGGTGAGGGCACGGGAAGGTGAGGGCACGCGGGGGGGGGGGGGAGTGAGGGGGGGGGGGAAAGTGAAGGCGCGGGGGGGGGGGGGGAAGTGAAGGCGCGGGGGGGGGGAGAAGTGAGGGCGCGGGGGGGGGAGAAGTAAGAGCGCAGGGGGGGGAGAAGTGAGGGTGCAGGGGGGGGGGGGGAGTGAGGGCGCGGGGGGGGGGGGAGTGAGGGCGGGGGGGAAGAGTGAGGGCGCGGGGGGGGGAGTGAGGGCGCGGGGGGGGGAGTGAGGGCGCGGGGGAAGGGTGAGGGCGCGGGGGGGGAGTGAGGGCGGGGGGGGGGGGAGTGAGGGCGGGGGGGGGGGAGTGAGGCGGGGGGGGGGTGGAGTGAGGGCGCGGGGGGTGGGGGGGAGTGAGGGCGGGGGGGGGGGAGTGAGGGCGCGGGGGGGGAGTGAGGGCGGGGGGGGAGAGTGAGGGCGCGGGGGGGGGAGAGTGAGGGCGCGGGGGGGGGGAGAGTGAGGGCGCGAGGGGGGAAGTGAGGGCGCGGGGGGGGGTGGAAGTGAGGGCGTGGGGGGGGGGGGGGGGTGGAAGTGAGGGCGCGGGGGGGGTGGAAGTGAGGGCGCGGGAGGGGGGGTGGAAGTGAGGGCGCGGGGGCGGGGGAAGTGAGGGCGCGGGGGGGGGGGGTGGAAGTGAGGGCGCGGGGGGGGGGGTGGAAGTGAGGGCGCGGGGGGGGGGGGTGGAAGTGAGGGCGAGGGGGGGGGTGGAAGTGAGGGCGCGGGGGGGGGGTGGAAGTGAGGGCGCGGGGGGGGTGGAAGTGAGGGCCGGGGGGGGGTGGAGTGAGGGCGCGGGGGGGGGGTGGAAGTGAGGGCGCGGGGGTGGGGGGTGGAAGTGAGGGCGCGGGGGGGGTGGAAGTGAGGGCGCGGGGGGGGGGGTGGAAGTGAGGGCGGGGGGGGGTGGAATTGAGGGCGCAGGGGGGGGACAATTTTTTTTTTTTTTTTTTTTTTTTTTAGTAAAGAGGAAGGAGAGGCATAGGTGAAGGGAAGTATAGAAGTGGGATATACAGTGAGAGGTATGAAAGCAGGCGGGCTGTCCGCCTTGCTGACACGATGTATGGGTGTTGGCAGCTAAGCTAAGCTGGCTCCCTCTTGTCAGGGAGCTGTGAGTGTGTGAGAGGTTCTTCACATGTGTTTCACCACATATGGATGTCCATAGATGAATACTGTGTAGCATTCATATATACACACTCCGATGCTTCCACACATGTTGTTCTGTTCAAGGCTCTTTATTTTATTATTATTATTATTTATCGAGTTGTTCATACACACATTTATCGAGTTGTTCATACACACATTATTATTTATCGAGTTCATATATACACATATATATCTCATCTGGGGATTATATACTGTGGGGCGGGGTTTTCATCTAGTGAATCGAGGCTCTTGGGCCACCAGCTGTGGGAGCGGGGCGTCTCATCTTGGAGCAATCTTCCTAACATTGGGTCCTCTAACATTTGGATGGTGTTCCACACCCTGATGGCTTGGTGCTGCAGTCTGATGTTTAGTGGCTGTATGTTCAGGAGTTCGTGGAGCTCCTGGATTGTCTGATCATATGGTGGACGGTGTTTTGCTGCTCTCCTTAGCGCCTTATTTTGCACTGCTTGCAGTTTCTGCATCTTAGTTTTCTTTATGGTGTGTAGTGGTACTGGGGGATATTCTAGATGCGGCCGAACTAGAGCCTTATATAAGTGGATCTGAATGTTAGTACTGAGGCTTCGGAATCTTCTCAGTTTTCCTAATGCTGCTTTGGCTTTGTTTAGTCGGTCTCTTACATGAATTTGTATCCCTGTTCTATTTATCATAAGTCCCAGTATTCTGCCTACCCCCGCATATTGGATCGGCTGGTTGTCAAGGATGATGGGGTCCGGGTTTCTTTTCGCAATGTGTATTATCTGAAACTTTTGTTTGTTCGTGCTAATTTTCCATTGCTTCTCAAAGTTGTTTATGAGTTCAATTGCCGCCTTGGTCTTGTCGGCTAGTAGCGGCTTTGATGGTCCCGGTTGGCATATTATTTGGGTGACATCGTCAGCGTATGTGATGTATTCTCCATGTTGGGGTTGGGGTAGGTCAGCTGTATATATGTTGAATAGAGTGGGGGAGAGGCAGCTTCCTTGTGGTACTCCACTTTTCAGTTCTATTACGTCACCCAAGTAGCTGCCGATATTAAGCCTAGCAGTTCTATTGTCTATAAAGCTGCAGAGAGTAGCAGTAAATCTCTCAGGAAGTCCTAGCTCAGATATCTTATATTTTAGGCCTGTGTGCCACACTTTGTCGAAGGCTTTCGAGACGTCTCTAAGCACTATATTACACTGATCTTTTTTCGACACTGCGTTGGCTATATGCTGGTAGATCAGGGCTATAGCTGTATGGGCCCCTCTGCGGTGTCTAAACCCTTGCTGCCTGGTGTTATACTTCCCTTCCTCTTCCATGTACTTCACAAGTCTCTGATAATTTTTTCGAATATTTTACCTGGTACTTCGAGGAGGGAAATTGGCCTGTAGTTTTCAGTTTGGGTTGGGGGTTTACCTGGCTTGGGGATTAATCTTATTGTGGCATTCTTGAAGTATGTGGGGAATAGTCCAGATGCAAGAGCTGCATTTAAGATACATGTGTATTGATGGAGTGCAATCACTGGTAGGTTGGATAATACCATCTTATTTATTTTGCTGTTGCCCGGCGCCTTGTTCTTGAAACCCATAATTGTTTTATGGACCTCCGCAATGGTTATGTGTTTCATAAGGTGGCAGTCATCGCGTATGTTGTTAAGGTCTATTGTTTGCGTCGGGAGTAGTGCTGCAGCTCTGTTATCGACTTGAGTTGTAATTTCCCTTTCATTAATTGGGCAAAAATTTAAATTTTCTTCCGGGTTTATCCTGAATATTTTTCCCAGAACTTCCTGAATTCCTGCTCTTGTTCTCTCTCTCATAGAGTTTATTTCCTGAGGCGTCTATGATGTAGGGGGTTTCCTCAGAAGAGCTTCCCATCAGGGTCTTTACTTTTTTCCAGAACTTTCCTGGGTTTCTGTAGTCGACTTGGATATTGCTTATTAGGTCATCCCATTGTTTGGTGTACTCTGTTTTGCACAGATCTTGCAGCTCATCTTGAAGTTCCCTTTGAGGTCTTTTGCGCTCATCCGTCCACCCGTGTTGTGTTATGAGCTGTAGAACAGGGGGGGGGAGTGAGGGCAGGGGGGGAGTGAGGGCGCGGGGGAGGGGGGGGGGGGAGTGAGGGCGCGGGGGGGGGGGGGAGTGAGGGCGCGGAAGCAGTTGTGGGGACAACACAGTGTGGTGGTGATGAGTCAGGGGGGGGTGACTCATCTCACCCATCATGTAGGGGCGGAAGGGCCAGTGTTGTAGAGTAGCGAGAGGGGGAGACGGAGACATTAGTCACAATAAATGGCATGAATCACCTGCAAATGAGGCGGCGAGGGTGAGGAGCGTGACTCTCTTGCCTCATGACACACTCACTGCATACACCTGTTGTATTAACACACAAAAACTCACACAGTATGTTCACGCAAATGCACGCACACTTCGCGGGAGCCGGTAGCTGAGTGGACAGCACGCGAGACACGTAATCCTGTAACCTCTCCTCGACTCAAGCCCATTACATCCAGCGGTCGACCCCACACACGCATTCAAAATGTTTTACATTCAGTTCAATCAAAACGGGAATTTTCTCAAATATAAATTAATATTATAATATAATTGCATGTTGTGATATAGGCATAGGTTAGGTCCACGCTGCGTCCACACAACAGGGTGGACGCACAGTGCCATGAGAGCGAGGGGGTGGACGCACAGTGCCATGAGAGCGAGGGGGCGGACGCAGCGTGCCATGAGAGCGAGGGGGCGGACGCACAGTGCCATGAGAGCGAGGGGGTGGACGCAGCGTGCCATGAGAGCGAGGGGGTGGACGCAGCGTGCCATGAGAGCGAGGGGGTGGACGCAGCGTGCCATGAGAGCGAGGGGGTGGACGCACTGTGCCATGAGAGCGAGGGGGTGGACGCACAGTGCCATGAGAGCGAGGGGGTGGACGCACAGTGCCATGAGAGCGAGGGGGTGGACGCACAGTGCCATGAGAGCGAGGGGGTGGACGCACAGTGCCATGAGAGCGAGGGGGCGGACGCACAGTGCCATGAGAGCGAGGGGGTGGACGCACAGTGCCATGAGAGCGAGGGGGCGGACGCAGCGTGCCATGAGAGCGAGGGGGTGGACGCAGCGTGCCATGAGAGCGAGGGGGTGGACGCAGCGTGCCATGAGAGCGAGGGGGTGGAGGCAGCGTGCCATGAGAGCGAGGGGGTGGAGGCAGCGTGCCATGAGAGCGAGGGGGTGGAGGCAGCGTGCCTTGATAGCGAGGGGGTGGACGCAGCGTGCCATGAGAGCGAGGGGGTGGACGCAGCGTGCCTTGAGAGCGAGGGGGTGGACGCAGCGTGCCATGAGAGCGAGGGGGTGGACGCAGCGTGCCATGAGAGCGAGGGGGTGGACGCAGCGTGCCATGAGAGCGAGGGGGTGGAGGCACAGTGCCTTAATTGACCTGCTTGATGGGGTTCTGGGAGTTCTTCTACTCCCCCAAGCCCGGCCCGAGGCCAGGGTTGACTTGTGAGAGTCTGATCCACCAGGCTGTTGCTTGGAGCGGCCCGCAGGCCCACATACCCACCACAGCCCGGTTGGTCCGGCACTCCTTGCAGAAAACTATCTAGCATTACCCTAAAGATGTTCACGATTGTTCCGGCATTACTTTTTTTTACTCGCTTGAACTTTTACTTGGCTTGGACTCGCTTGCTGAACAACCGCGGACCTCTGATGTTTATACAGTGTTCTCTGATTGTGCCTGTGGCACCTCTGCTCTTCGCTGGTTCTATTCTGCATTTTCTTCCGTATCGTTCAGGATTGAGAGCGCATACATAGTTTCTGTGTGTGGCTCAGTTTTTTTCTCTCTTTGAGACTCATTTCAATTTTTTCCGAACATATATATAGCTACTCCCCCTCCTCGTCTAATATATCTGTGTGTGAAATAGTTTAAATCCTTTTATTTGATATTCAGCTAATAGTTCTCTATTTTCTATATTCATCCACGTTTCGTTAATTGCAATAATATCTACTTTTTCTGTGCAGACAAGAGCATTTAAATCGTTTATTTTGTTTCTTAGACTTCTACTGTTAGTGTAATTTACCCTAAGTGTATTATTATTTCGAGGCCCTTCTCTTTCCTTGATCATTTTACCAATTTGTTTCTCCCACAAACACATACTTTTATTACCTCCTTCCTTCATATAAATTCCCATACCACTATCTACTAACAGTTTAAGCCCAAACAAACACCTCTAACCACTGGTTCCAACGAGTTGGCAGCAACAACCCCAGCCCTCGATAGATGCACCCCATCACAAGCATACATTTCATTTCTTCCATAGAAGTGTTACCAGTTATCTATGAAAGATATTGCATTTGATTTGCAATATCTTTCCAGCCGGCAATTGACACCAAGTGCCCTCGATATCCATTCATTTCCAACTCCCTTTCTTGGCAGAATGCCTCCACATATGATGGGGATTCCTCCCTTGCTCCTAACAACTTCTATGGCTGTCTTAAACCTCTTTATCAGTTCCTCACTCCTAACTCGTCCAACATCATTACCCCCTGCACTAATATAAATAATGGGTTTGTTCCCAATCCCTGTCATAATATCTCATGCTGTCAACAATATCTCCAATTCCTGCTCCCGGATAGGTACCCCTTAATGTGTTCCTCTTATCTCTGGCACAAACCGTCCTGTTTAAATACCTCACCTGGGAATCTCCTACAACTAGAATTCGCTTAGATCCTTCCTTTTCCCTTTGAGGGACCTGCGCTTCGTTGCTCTTCGTTATTCTTCGTTGCTTTGCCGTTCGAACGAACGGCAGGTTCACCGCAGCACTCGTCCTCCAACACGACAAATGTGTTAGAAGTCCTTAGGATATCAGTAGGCGGCTTTGCCAAAGTCTTTTTAGGCCCCTGTCCTTTACAACTTGCCAAGACGAGGTCTCTTTAATACCGGTCGCCTCGTTTGTGTCTTCCTGATGTTGTTTCAGCTGTCGTGCCTCCTCTCGTAGGGAATCCAACTCTGTCCTCAGAGCTCCAACAAGATTCATCAGTTCCTTCACTACACCTTCCATTATTGCTATAATAATATTACTACACTCGGAGCTCCGGTTAACACCTTCCCACTGTGACTGTCTGCGCCTGATTACCTTAAAGAATCATCAACAACGTTGACCACTAAATACTCACATCAACTCTAACTCTATCAATATTATCACTACTATCGAAGTCTGAACTTTTGAATGGAAAAAACTGGACACCACGAACGTCAGACTCTTAATATTATGCAGCGCTAGCACGAAGCCGCTTCCAACCCCATAATACCAGGCTGGTAGGAGAGTTTTATGGAGAATTATGCAAGGGAAGACTAACGAAACTGGAATTCACATCACTGAATTAGGGCAACAGCTGGAGGGACATGATTACAACTTAAAAAATACTTGGGTGGAATCGAAAAGGCCAAATGAAAGAGGACTTGGCACCCCAGGACTAATGAAGAAGGGACCCCGGCGGAGCCTCGTCAGGGCCCCTAAGACCAATGAGACCAATAAAGGAACGGGGCTCGGCGCCCCCGGTGAACAATAGATGATCGGCGCCTTTGACACCCATAGTTACATTATGCTATCTGCGGGTACGACAGTTTGTTGAAACAAAAATCAGTCGGAATCCAAAGGAAACAGGATCGTACCTTAAGCTGGTGGAGTTGTGTCTCGCGATGAGCTAAAAAAGACTTACCTGAAATGGCAGAAAAAGTAACTAATTATGTGCCTATTGAAATTCCTATATACACATTATAATCGTATACCACATATATAACATATGAATGGTCACAACCATCTTCATGTTGGTATGTTGAGGCGGAGACGTTGGTCACACTTGAGGCTCGAGGTGGTGCTTACCTTCTCCTGAAGGATGGTTGTGCTGTAGTGGGGTCAGACAAGGGGGGTCAGCGGTGTCCGTAGTGGGGTCAGACATGGGGGGTCAGCGGTGTCCGTAGTGGGGTCAGACACGGGGGGGTCAGCGCTGACCGTAGTGGGGTCAGACAAGGGGGTCAGCGCTGACCGTAGTGGGGTCAGACAAGGGGGGGGTCAGCGCTGACCGTAGTGGGGTCAGACAAGGGGGTCAGCGGTGTCCGTAGTGGGGTCAGACAGTGGGGTCAGACACGGGGGGTCAGCGGTGTCCGTAGTGGGGTCAGACAAGGGGGTCAGCGGTGTCCGTAGTGGGGTCAGACAAGGGGGTCAGCGCTGTCCGTAGTGGGGTCAGACAAGGGGGGTCAGCAGTGTCCGTAGTGGGGTCAGACACGGGGGGGGTCAGCGTTGTCCGTAGTGGGGTCAGACAAGGGGGGTCAGCGTTGTCCGTAGTGGGGTCAGACAAGGGGGGTCAGCGCTGTCCGTAGTGGGGTCAGACAAGGGGGGTCAGCGGTGTCCGTAGTGGGGTCAGACACGGGGGTCAGCGGTGTTCGTAGTGGGGTCAGACAAGGGGGTCAGCGCTGTCCGTAGTGGGGTCAGACAAGGGGGGTCAGCGCTGTCCGTAGTGGGGTCAGACAAGGGGGTCAGCGCTGTCCGTAGTGGGGTCAGACAAGCGGTGGCCGGGGGTCAGCGGTGACCGTAGTGGGGTCAGACAAGGGGGTCAGCGCTGTCCGTAGTGGGGTCAGACAAGGGGGTCAGCGCTGTCCGTAGTGGGGTCAGACAAGGGGGTCAGCGCTGTCCGTAGTGGGGTCAGACAAGGGGGTCAGCGCTGACCGTAGTGGGGTCAGACAATGGGGGTCAGCGTTGTCCGTAGTGGGGTCAGACAAGGGGGTCAGCGCTGACCGTAGTGGGGTCAGACAAGGGGGTCAGCGCTGACCGTAGTGGGGTCAGACAAGGGGGTCAGCGCTGTCCGTAGTGGGGTCAGACAAGGGGGTCAGCGATGTCCGTAGTGGGGTCAGACAAGGGGGTCAGCGCTGGCCGTAGTGGGGTCAGAAAAGGGGGTCAGCGCTGACCGTAGTGGGGTCAGACAAGGGGGTCAGCGCTGACCGTAGTGGGGTCAGACAATGGGGGTCAGCGTTGTCCGTAGTGGGGTCAGACAAGGGGGTCAGCGCTGTCCGTAGTGGGGTCAGACAAGGGGGTCAGCGTTGTCCGTAGTGGGGTCAGACAAGGGGGTCAGTGCTGACCGTAGTGGGGTCAGACAAGGGGGTCAGCGCTGGCCGTAGTGGGGTCAGACAAGGGGGTCAGCGCTGGCCGTAGTGGGGTCAGACACGGGGGGTCAGCGCTGGCCGTAGTGGGGTCAGACAAGGGGGTCAGCGCTGACCGTAGTGGGGTCAGACAGGGGGGTCAGCGCTGGCCGTAGTGGGGTCAGACAAGGGGGTCAGTGCTGGCCGTAGTGGGGTCAGACAAGGGGGTCAGCGCTGGCCGTAGTGGGGTCAGACAAGAGGGGGTCAGTGTTGTCCGTAGTGGGGTCAGACAAGGGGGTCAGCGCTGGCCGTAGTGGGGTCAGACAAGGGGGTCAACGCTGGCCGTAGTGGGGTCAGACGAGGGGGTCAGCGCTGGCCGTAGTGGGGTCAGACAAGGGGGTCAGCGCTGGCCGTAGTGGGGTCAGACACGGGGGTCAGCGCTGGCCGTAGTGGGGTCAGACAAGGGGGGGTCAGCGTCACCAACACTCCCCCACGTGCTCGCTAACAATAACAAAAGCGGTGTTGCCAACACTCACGAATCACTCACAATAAATTAAATATCCAGAACGAGACGAGAAACACCGCAAGAACTATAAAAGTTCTCAACAAGTCAGTAATTTTGCTGCAGCAATAACAGCCAATTTCCATCTTTTATTTCCAGTAAATCACTAAAGTGTCTAAGAATTACCATTTAGTCACGTTAACATTTAGCAGCGGCTTGTCCTGCCTTGTGGTCAAGATTATTCTTCACAACGCACTTTCCCGATTTTGCTGAACACGAAACTAATAATAACAATACTGACAACCGTTAACCACAACACTGTAATTTGCTTGTTCACACAACAGTACTAACTAACAAGTAGTTCTTTAAATACCACAACATCCAGTCCTCGTAACTCAACACCTAGATTTTCATATACATTTGAGAGGCGTTTGTCACAGTGAGTCAGTCATCACAAGACAGTCATCACAAGACAGTCATCACAAGACAGTCATCACAAGACAGTCACAACACGGCACAACACGGCCCTCACAAGACAGTCATCACAAGACAGTCATCACATCACAGTCATCACAACACAGTCATCACATCACAGTCATCACAACACAGTCATCACATCACAGTCATCACAACACAGTCATCACAACACAGTCATCACATCACAGTCATCACAACACAGTCATCACAACACAGTCATCACAACACAATCATCACATCACAGTCATCACATCACAGTCATCACAACTATCACTCGCCACCATCAACGTCAAACTGCCATGACCTGCCTGACTAGTTGGTCCAAACAGTCTTCCTTGCGAGTTTCCAATGAATCAGTTAATGAACCTGTTTAAACCCAGGTGGTGCTTCATCACAGCCCAGCGCCAACACATCGACCAGGTGCTTATCTTACTGTATGTGTTCGAATCACATTGCAGTAGGTATTTCGCTCTTTTAATTTAAAGGTAAATAAATCAGCTGGTGGTTGTAAACAGTGGTTGGGCTCACGTTGACCAGCCGCTGGCTCTCAGGTGGTGGTGTAGGAGAATTTCTAAAGCGATGCTTCTTAACCCTCCTGTCAGGGGTGGGGGTATGAAGCACTCTGTACGTATGTACTTATTTGTACCTGCGGTACAAATGTACCAAAATGGTACAGTTTGAAGCTAATGTATTATAAGGCACAGTTTATACAATCTTGTAGAGCAACATGTAATTGGATGACAGTTGGCGAACTTCTCGAAGTTGACATTTCAGTCTTTATACCATATTGACATAAGACTTAGTATTGTGATTTCCATAATAAACTATATCTTTCCACCGGTCACCAATAGGTAGATTGTATCGTCTTTGATACAATCCTTTACGATACTTTTCTTTACCAGTTAGTTAGTTTAGTTCATTTATTATGCACCCCATACCCATCTTGTGGGCGGTAGTGGATATGAAGTTACTTAGAGGCACGTAATGGGCTCAGGGACTGAACCCCACAATTCATTTAGCAACGCAAGTTACAATCTTGATGAGTTAATTACAAAATTCAATGCACATCGTCACATCAACAATGGGCTCGAGATCGACCACAAGTACAGTTTCTAAATTAAGCAACTGCCATATGTGGAGAACTAGTGTCACAATTGATATGTTTGTCCTGCACACCGCCCCCCATCCAGTGGGCAGCGGTGGATAGGTTACAATCACCTAGTTACTACCTACAGTTAGCAAACTAAGAATATTTGGGTAAGATTTCTAGTAGCAGATCATTTTGAATGAAATATTTACACATCTCTTAAACATTTGTTATAGAATTGTCTCTGAATTCACGTATCTTTTCGCACTCCATCACATAGTGACGGAGGGTGTGCGAATAATTTTGTTGACACAGTTTACATTTGGTAAGGGCTACATTAGCAGATAATGTAAATTCCCAGAGATACTTCCATAGATGTGTGGCTCCTCTTGCATGATAGTATGATGATAGATGGAATTGCTGGTGACGATTTATCTTTGCCTCAGATCTACAAGGTTTTGTTGACGTTCTTTTTTTATTTATAGTACAATGTAAATATGAATGGAAATGTTCGTGTGTGTAACCGCTAATCTCTGAAAGTTCTTCACCGATTGCTTTTAATAACAGCTAGGAGTCTGATTTTTTCATATTTTCATTTTTTAACTTTTTCTTATATTTCAGTGATGGGAACATCAGACCATTTGGGAAGGCATCGGACGAGGGAGTGGGGAATGGTGGGGAGGACGAGGGGACGGGGGAGTTTGGGATGGTGGGGTCGAAGGGATGGGGGAATGTAGAATGGTGGGGAGGACTGGGGGACAGGGAAGGTTGCTGTGGCTCAGCAACTCTCACACGTTGCAGAGCCACAGCAACGTGTGGCCGGGTACTGCTAGTATATACAATAAAAAAATACCAATCCTGAAAAGGTACATGACAAATGAACATAAAGGAACTCATATGGTCAACAAGCAGTATGCTAAAACATAAATGCAAGAACATGAATACAACAGAAAAATACAAAACAATTAATAAATACAATCACAAAACAGGAACTACAGGATTAACACAGAGCACAACAGCACACACAGAGTACATATACATATAGCAAAATAAAATAAGGTAAAACAACAAATGGTAAGTAACGCAGTAAAGCATGACGGATAAACTCCGCCAAAATTGCCACGCATACAGTGTAAAAAGCCCACACAGATAGGAGCACAGGACCGGAACACGCAGGAACTGGTGGAACATAAGAAAAGACACACGCAGACACACCAGAAAACAAAGACTGGCTTACACAGGAGCCAGACGCGACAAAGCAGCCACCCCCACACACACACAACCAGGATGAAACACCGGAACTCACAGGAACCGGGAAATATAGTCCACAACCACACCAAACACACGAGAGAAAAACACCGGAATACGCAGGAACCGGCAAAAAGACATGCACAAAAACACACAAACTAAACACTTAGGGCACACACACAGAACAGCACAAAAACGGAACACACCACACACCGCCGAGGAAGCCCCCCAGGGGGGAGGAGGAGGGGAAAGACCCAGGGAGAAGACCCACCCACCCACAACCTAAACGACAACAATCTACCTCCCCAAACCTACCCCTACTACACCAATACACTGATCAATCCCCCGACCCCCCTACCCTACCAGTCCCAAAGCATAACCCCAAACATACACGTCAGTAAACCAACCAACAAACTCCACTAGAAAAGCACGCCGCAACCACCAACATGTGAAACGCAAATGCCCCCGCAGAAAACCCAGAATCTGACGAATTCCATAGCCCTCCAAACGCCCAACCCACACCCAAAACATGCAATCCGCAATCAAGACACTCAGGGTGTTCCGAAGCCGTCGGGAGCCCGAGGAAACTAAAGAAACAGGAACCACAAAACATCACCCCGAAACCCAGGCCCACAGAACACCTCAGTCACATCACACACAACCAATCAACTAAGCCCTGAACCCGCACACAAAAAATAAAACACACGCAACTGCGTTTCAACCAACTCACAATGTGCACACGCCGCGGAAGAATGCAACCCAAGCATCCACAAACGATCATTCGACGGCAACAACTTGTGCAGCATACGAAAGAGAAACTCCCGCTGCAGTGAAGCCAGATGCCGCCCACTCAAAACCGACCAAATACCCCCCCCCCCTACCCCAATCCCAACATGAAAACAAGCCCTCAACCCGATGGCGCTCACGATGAAGGAGAGCCCCATAAATCCCTCAACACAAGGACAAAAACCCTGGGACATGACAGAGCGCCTGCAGAAACGAAACCACCCACGAATACACCACAGGCACCCAATAAGCACCCAAGACATAGCGTCCCAATTCGGTGCCAACGATCGGTCATATGAGCTAAACCAAGTAATCCCGAGAACCCAAAGCGACCTGACCACCAGAAACCCCGACCCCGTCCACACCAAATGGGTAGCCCAGCACCCCAACCCCATCAGACAAGACTTATCCCTTTTAACGAGGGTCCCTGTGGCCATCTCCAAATGCCGAACAAGGTCCTGAACCGTACCAACAGTTCTCAGTTGCCATGAACAGCACCATATTGTCAGCATACCCACAGATCCGTAAACGGAGACCGGTGGGCAACTGCGGAGGAACTACCAAAGCAGAGGACTTAACTGCACGGAAAAAAGGCTCCTGAAAAATAACAAAGGAGCATAGATAAAGGATACCCCTGCCTCACCGACCGGCGAACGACAAAAGGGGCACTAAAAAAAACATTAATGCATACACGACTACGACGACGAGCATACAACATGTGCACCCAAGAAAAATAACGGAGGAAATCCAAACCTCTCCATAGCCCACAACACGAAGCCTATCGACACACAGTTGAACGCCTTCGACCAATCTAAGCTGAGCATCGCCGCAGGAAAGCGAAGCTCAAAAGCGCACAGAATAACATCACGAAGAAGAGCATTGCAATGAAGCAAGGATCTACCCGGAACACCACAAAATTGCTCAATCAAAACAGAACCAATGACATCCCGACACCGACCCGCCAACAGCTTTAAGACGACCTTATTATCAACATTCAACAAGGTAATCGATCTCCAATTTCATAGAAAATGCAAATCACCCGGCTTCGGAAGCAACCGCACAACCCCATCATAATGGGACGAGGGTAAACAACAGGTCTGGAAACAATAACACACCACCTCCAAGAAATCCTCACCAAAAACATCCCAAAACGTTACATAAAAATCCACAGGGAGCCCATCTGAACCAGGCACCCTGCTGGACCGGAAAGACCACCACATCCCAAAGCCCAGACAATGACACTCCCTACCAAAGTGGAACAACCTGCAGCCGACAACCCAGGTGAGCAGTGACGCAAAAAGAAAGCAGCCAGATCCTCATCCACCCCTACCTCCTCATATAGCGCCCCCACCCAATTCTTGCTGCATATACAACAGGACCCCATCCATGTCAGACATAACGAAACCTTCCGGACGATGGAGACTAGTGAAAAGAACAGTCCCGAAGAGCCTTCTTCTGCAGAAGAAAGGGAAAAAGCCGTTCACCAGACATGAGCTCGTCTACACAAGTCCGCACCCAAACCCCCTCTGCTAACTCCTTGTTACCTATCGTTCGTTACGGCTCGTGACCCTACAGCAGCCAAGCTTTAATTACATCTAGGGATACCACTGCTGCTCTCTAAAGCGGGTCACCAGTATAACCCCTTGATAAGTAATGAGCACATAAATAAAAATCTTCTTTTAGGACTGAAGAATAGATACAAAATATTATATAGATATATATTCAAGACAGTATAATATAAAAACACAGATGGTCAAGTTAACTTATACAACAAACAAAAGGTATTGTCCTTCTCCTAATATAGTATAATAAAATATGGCACAACAAGAAGTAACAGACTTATCTCCCACATGTTACTCTTCCTGGTCCCCCGAAGCTACTGAACTCTCGCTCTGTCGCTACCCAAATTCTCACCTCCCGTCTGCCTCATCCCAGGATGAGGGATGGAAACTAAGGACTTTTTAATATTTAAAACTAATTGAACAACCACTTGTTCTCAAAACACACAAGAATGCAAATTACAGATAATAGTTACTTACAAAATATATAAGTACAATGCCACCTGTTTAATTGCAGAAAATAAACAATTACCTAAACTAAATAAAAGTGACATCTGGAACTCCCAACTGAACAGGTCCAGCTTTCCCGAATTTAACAGGTATTAGACGTGTGCAAAGCAACCGCGCTCCTGTCTCCACTGACGCTGCCACACCACACGATAATTTACAAAAACACAATGTGTGTACATATACAGGCAATGATATAATAGAACAAAAAAAATTATTTTAAATTTATATACGTATTCTGCTAGGAGTACGTAACACTTCCACCTCCAAGAAAAAAAATGCAATAGATTGAAGATCAATGGCATTTTTTCAAAGTAAAATGTATGACACTTGAGATTTATGGTATTAATTACACCAACCATGTAAAAGTAATAAGAACACATCTCTGGACAAAAATGAAAACACTCCAAATATAGTCTTACAGGAAACTCAGAAATTTCAGTCTTATGACTATGTTCTACATATGTGTCACTGGAGTATGCAAATTTATCTCTCCAAGGTACTATCTCATTTATTTCACTTTGTTTCAGATCATATTTCACACTCCTATCTACAACAGTATCATTAGTAGCATGAATAGAATTGTCAATAAAGGTAGCTGCTTTCACACAGTTATCATGGCAATTCAGCTTTTCATTTGTTTCTACTATTTCTCTAAGATCAGTTCCGTATTTCCATGTGATCCCTTTTCCACATCGTGAATTTTTCCAAGACAGACTCCATTTTCCATTACTCCCTTTTTCTGGAGCTGAACTGCTAAATTGAAGCTGACTGGATGTTGAGTAGATTTGGGACTTCTCCTGGGTATGCTCTGACACAGACATCTGCTCTTCATCACTCTTGATCCTCTGTGGAACACATACTCTCGCCCAATGGATACTAAAATTAGAGAAATTAGCATTAAACCTCACAATTATGCATAAGACTTTCCCATTCATAGAACCTTCCGAAACACAAGACACCGACTTAGCAAACCTTTGACCTTCAAACCAAGAAATACAACCCAAGATAAGTGCAAAGACTACCTGATCGAACTGACTCAGATGATCCATAAGGAACACAGAAATCAATTGCCTCATAACTCTGTCATAACGATCAGTGAAAGAAAACAGGCATATGCCTAGGCACCATATCTCAATCATAACTCTGAAGACAAGTTCACACCCCCTGATGGTGAACTTGAACACAACACACACTTTCATCAACCGTCTAGTCTTCCAAAAGACTAAATAAAACATGCCGAAAACTTTACAGCCCTCACCATCACTTCCCAAGTGATTTACGTCTGATGACAACCAATCAACCAAGAGGTTTAAGGGTCTTAACATCTTGAAGATGAACAGCAGATTACCTGGGAAACACCCAAGGATAATCTGTAACCCTTCACAATGATTAACTCTAGGTAGGATAACCTTATCCCCCAACTTGAAATACACACCTGGAGCCTCAAACATCTGCTCCCCAGTATGATTTAATCCTTCACCCACAATATGACTCTGAAAGTCAACACCACACTTGAGTGGAACATACACTTGCATCACTCGTGCATTAAAATTACCTGGATCTGAATATAGAGACACTGCTCTAGCATAACTCACCACTTCCTCAGAACTGGATGCACAACCTACTTGAGTAAACTCTCTCTGCTCAACCACAAGGCTTGACAAAGATGTCCCACAGTCCATTACTTCACAAGAAAATGGCTCCTGCAGAATAAAAGTAGATTTCAACATCCTACACACACTCTGACTCAATGTACACAATGAGAAATACTTACTCCACATAGAATAAGAATCACAACTCCGCAACTTAGATCCAAATGCTACCTTACCACTCTCAATGATTTTACCAAAATTTCCTCCCATGACTTCTGGAGCTGCTTGGAGTACTGTCTGCTCACAATCAATAATATCACTACCAAGCTGGGTCACATCCTCACAGACAACTGAAGAGGGAGGCTCAATGGGTCTCCATCTACTCAACAGAAGCTGATCCTCTGGCTGCTTTCCCACACTCTCCAAAACTGGATCTACAGTACAGACTGTCTCCTTGCTTCTCTCTGAAATCTTAGGGTCAGTTCTACTCAATGCACTTAAATTAAGGGAATCTGAAACGAGCGGGCAAGTAACAGGTAGTTTGACCTCCTCCCCTATTATATCACCTTGACTAGGGTGAGGCGGGGCCTCTACAACGGACTTACTCTCGACAACTGATTCTAAACTTGGAGTGAGCGGGAATACTTCTGCCAACCCGACATCTTGTCCTAAACCATTCACTTGGCTGGAATACAGAGTCGTGGCTTTTAAGTTTCTCTCAACTCCTGGCACAACGTTCGTAGTGAGCGGGCAAGACAATGGTACATGGACATCCTTTCCCAATTTATTGGAATAAAGCAGAGTCATAGTATCAGGCTTACTCTCAACAACTAAATCGGCCACACAGGAATCTGGAACAACCACATCCCACTTCTCCACTGAAGGGGTACTGGTTACTGGAACAAATGCTTGAGTAACAACATCAGAACTGACAACTGGATTTATATTAGTACTGACATCAGCACAGGTAGAATGGACAAAACCATCTTCTACAACAGGTTCATTCATAGAACTAACTTCAGCACAGGCAGAATAAACATGGTCTGCAACTGGCTGTTTACACAAACGGGGATCAATCTCACCCACAACATGATTTATGGCCACATCATTACCCAATATAACATCCACACCTGGGATGGGCAACTGTGTACTAACACCCACAGTGCATAAACTTGGTGTAATGGTGGATCTGAAATTAATGTCTATTAGAGGTACAGTTTTACATCCTGCAACACTCTGAAGAACAACAAACTTTCCAGTCTCTCTCTTTTCAACATCAGAAAGAATACTGGATGAAATTATGGTTTGGGAAGCACCTGTATCACGAAGAATAACCACTGGCTTCCACTTCCCATTAATACACAAAACTTCACCTGAAGACATATATGGTGAATACTGTTTCACCCAATTGGGGTTTACAGTTACATGTTTATTAGTAAGTTTATTTTGCACACCTCTGCAATAAATGAGACCAGTTGGTCGTAACTCAGGGTGCAATATAAAACATGAATTAATTCCATGGCCTTTTCTCTTACAATGGGAACAAGACCTTACAGTGGACACACTGGTAGAACCAACTGTAGGTTTAGAAATAACCTTATTATTATTTGACATTCCTGACAATGAAGTAGCAGGGTTAGGTTTTGTAAGAGAAGAGCTCATGGGAGTAACTGGAGCACTAGGACGGGATGGATTCTGATAAGGAGTTCGGGGAGCATTATAATTTACTCTACGACTAGACTTAGGTGAAGTGGCCGTAAACTGGGCCTTAGTCAACAACTCATGCTCATCCGCGAGCTTTGACAGCTCATAAATGTCTGTTACATTCTTTTGTTCTGCCATAAAAGTAGACAACTGGTCTGGGAGACATGACAATACTTCTTCCATTATAAGAAGATTCTTTAGAGCATCAAAGTCAGTGACTGAAAGTGACTTTAACCATCTGTTGCAAAAATTCGTCTTCTGACGAGTAAAATCTGCTATTGTCTGATCACTTATCCTCCTTAGGTTTCTAAACTTTTGCCTGTGTGCCTCTGGATTTATTTGGTATGCATTTAAGATGCTTTTCTTTACAAATTCGTAATCAAAGCTATGAGCGTCAGGTAGGGATGTAAAAACCTCCTGACTACGCCCCTTAAATTGAGACTGCATAATGGCTACCCACTGATCCCTTGGCCAGTTCATACTGATGGCAATTTTATAAAAATGTGCAAAGAAAACCTCAGGATCCTCCTCATTGAACTTGGGTAACTCTATATACTTATTCATCCTTATGGGATTATTATCACTATTTATTGAAACATTACTAGTATTTCCATGCCCAGCTGCCATACGCTGTGATTCAAGCCTGAAGTTAGTGTCAGCCATTTGTTGTTGAATCTCTAATTGCCTAGTTTGTTCCTCGGCTTGTTGCTTCTTTGTGGCTTCTATTTGCAACTGTGCCTCAATTTCTAAACGTCTAGTCTCAAGCTCCCTCTGCTGAGCTTCAGCCTCTAATATTTGCTGTTCTTTTTGAGCTTCAAGCTCTCTTTGACGAGCTTCAGCCTCTAATATATTCTCTGCTTCAATCTCTTTTGAGCTTCAGCCTCTAATATTCTCTGTTCTTTTTGAGCTTCAAGCTCTAATTGGCGAGCTTCTAACTCAAGACGCTTTAACGTCATCTGATCACTCGACTCCTCTCTTAACTCCTCTAGAATTTCTTCCTCTAACTCTCCATTCTCAACAAAATGTGTCACAATGACTTTCAATATTTGGGCTTTAACCATTCTATTGTTGGCGGTCAAATCCAACTGATTTGCCATTTGTATTAACTCAGTCTTTTTAAGGCTCTTAATCCCTTCAAAGTCTGGGTGAGCCACCAACGCTGCAACTTTCTCCTCCATCGTTACTAACACTTGGCACTTGATTCACAACAATAATTAAAAACAATGGCACTGCACTACACTTCACTGTAAAATTGTCACCACACTGAAAATTCGCTTGGCCTCACTGCACAAACAAAATATATAGGATGACTTACCTCAAAATCGTGAAACGTTGTTACTTGACACACAGGAAAGCTTGCTTGGCACATGGAATAGTTCTTAAGAAACACACAGACACTTAACACACTGGTACCTAGGAAGGCAAGGTTAGATTAGCACAGTTAAGGTTAAGTGGGAACAATATTATCCCGGACAGGCCCCCATAACTCTTTGTTACCTATCGTTCGTTATGGCTCGTGACCCTACAGCAGCCAAGCTTTAATTACGTCTAGGGATACCACTGCTGCTCTCTAAAGCGGGTCACCAGTATAACCCCTTGATAAGTAATGAGCACATAAATAAAAATCTTCCTTTAGGACTGAAGAATAGATACAAAATATTATATAGATATATATTCAAGACAGTATAATATAAAAACACAGATGGTCAAGTTAACTTATACAACAAACAAAAGGTATTGTCCTTCTCCTAATATAGTATAATAAAATATGGCACAACAAGAAGTAACAGACTTATCTCCCACATGTTACTCTTCCTGGTCCCCCGAAGCTACTGAACTCTCGCTCTGTCGCTACCCAAATTCTCACCTCCCGTCTGCCTCATCCCAGGATGAGGGATGGAAACTAAGGACTTTTTAATATTTAAAACTAATTGAACAACCACTTGTTCTCAAAACACACAAGAATGCAAATTACAGATAATAGTTACTTACAAAATATATAAGTACAATGCCACCTGTTTAATTGCAGAAAATAAACAATTACCTAAACTAAATAAAAGTGACATCTGGAACTCCCAACTGAACAGGTCCAGCTTTCCCGAATTTAACAGGTATTAGACGTGTGCAAAGCAACCGCGCTCCTGTCTCCACTGACGCTGCCACACCACACGATAATTTACAAAAAAACACAATATGTGTACATATACAGGCAATGATATAATAGAACAAAAAATGTTATTCTAAATTTATATACGTATTCTGCTAGGAGTACGTAACAGTAATGATCTGCACAGGAAGCGAGGCCACCACATCGGATACCAACGGGTCAGGTGGGCCAAACTTCTGAACTGGTGGAGCCGGCAAATCAGAAGGGACCACTGTCAGCAAGAGGTCTCGGGGGACAACCACAGCATCCACAACACCGGGCTTGACGCCCCTAACCTCTTAAGGGGGGAGGGGTGAATCACCCTCCTGAAAGACGGCTGGCTTCCCCACCCCAGAAGCATTGCAACCGGCAGCAAGATGCCTGTGCAAACCACACTGAAAACAAGTGCGAGGTCGACCCTCGTAGAAGATCCTCAAGTTGAAGCCTTAGAACATGACCAGAGACAGAATAGCACGTGTCAAATGCATGGCAAGTATCCGCACACTGGTCCTGAAGCCCGTCATTGAAGCATTCATATGGAGCAGGTGCAGAGAACTTTACCACCACACACCTGTCAGAGATCTTCTCAAGTCCGTAAATTGAAGTCAGATCCACCCGGAAAACGTCCAAAACCGCCACATCCACCATCGTCCAATCTGCAGCCTCCGAGAATTCCAATCTTGTTGAATCAAACCGTCTAATCCCCGTCACCGACGACGCCATAACGCCAGCCGCCCCCACCGGCCAGCTAGCACACCACACACCAACAACAGCGACCTGCTCACACCAGGTGTCAGCCAACAACCGAAGAGCGCCGACGTAGTGACTACACCCTCTGGCGGCCAAGCAGGCAATCCTCTTGTTGACGTTCTTTGAGTACTATTGCTCTCAGACTGCTTATTGACAATCTAAGGTTATAATCAATTTCTCCTATAAAGGCAGATTCTTTGGCTAACTCATCAGCTCTATCATGCATTTGGAGGCCAACATGACATGGAGTCCACATGAAATGAATTCTGTTACCATCATTAATAATTTTGTTGTATTTGAGTCTAGCTTCAGACACGAGCATGTTACAATTATGTCTAAACGAGCCGAGTGCAATTAACGAAGATAAAGAATCACTTACAATTAATGTATCAAGTTTGGAGATGTACACATTTCAGTGCAAGAAGCAAGGCAAATAGTTCTCTCCGAAGGGTAGAGGCCCAGTTGTTTATACGGACTCCCCACTAAAAATACAAGCCATCGCTCATTGTCAGGACAACTGCACTTCCAGCTGCACCCGTGGGGCGGTGTAGGGAACTATCAGTGCATATGGTTTGAGAGAGAGAGTGCTCTGTGGACAGAGCATCAATATGGTTTAAGGCGTTGAGCTTTGCCTCAAGACGAAGCTTGGGTATTCTAATACCTCAAGACGAAGCTTGGGTATTATTCAAAGCTCTAATTTGCTTCTTGGGTGGAAAGGGAGGGATAAAAGTTGGAAAGGGTGTAATTTCCCACGGTGCAGGAAAGTGCCATTGTCGTCTCTCTTGGGTCAAATTATAAATCTGATACTTTCTGAGTTCAGTTCCAGTTTTAGTTATCCATTTGGAACAATGTTGACCTTCAATAAAGAAATTCTTGAGAGCTTGTTACGTACTCCTAGCAGAATACGTATATAAATTTGAAATAGCATTTTTGTTTCCATTATATCATTGCCTGTATATGTACACACATTGTGTTTTAGTAAATTATCGTGTGGTGTGGCAGCGTCAGTGGACAGGAGCGCGGTTGCCTTTGCACACGTCTATTACCTGATTGATACGGGAAAGCTGGACCTGTTCAGTTTGGAAGTTCCAGATGTCACTTTTATTTAGTTAGGTAATTGTTTATATTCTGTAATTAAACAGGTGGCATTATACTTATATATTTTGTAAGTAACTATTATCTGTAATTTGCATTCCTGTGTGTTTTGAGAACAAGTGGTTGTTCAATTAGTTTTAAATATTAAAAAGTCCTTAGTTTCCATCCCTCATCCTGGGATGAGGCAGACGGGAGGTGAGAATGTGGGTAGCGCCAGAGCGAGAGTCAGTAGCTTCGGGGAACCAGGAGGAGTAACATGTGGGAGATAAGTCTGTTACTTCTTGTTGTGCCATAGTTATTATATTATATTAAGAGTAATGACAATATTTTCGTTTGTTGTATAAGTTACTTTACCATCTGTGTTTTTATATTATACTGTCTTGAATATATATCTATATAATATTTTGTATCTATTCTTCAGTCCTAAAGGAAGAGTTTTATTTATGTGCTCATTACTTATCAAGGGGTTATACTGGTGACGCGCTTTAGAGAGCAGCAGTGGTATCCCTAGACGTAATTAAAGCTTGGCTGCTGTAGGGTCACGAGCCGTAACGAACGATAGGTAACAAAGAGTTATGGGGGCCTGTGCCGGGAAATATTGTTCCCACTTAACCTTAATTATGCTAATCTAACCTTGCCTTCCTAGGTACCATTGTGTCAAGTGTCTGTGTGTTTCTTAAGAATATTCCATGTGCCAAGCAAGCCTTCCTGTGTGTCAAGTAACAACGTTTCACGATTTTGAGGTAAGTCATCCTATATATTTTGTTTGTGCAGTGAGGCCAAGCGAATTTTCAGTGTGGTGACAATTTTACAGTGAAGTGTAGTGTAGTGCCATTGTTTTTAATTATTGTTGTGAATCAAGTGCCAAGTGTTAGTAACGATGGAGGAGAAAGTTGCAGCGTTGGTGGCTCACCCAGACTTTGAAAGGATTCAGAGCCTTAAAAAGACTGAGTTAATACAAATGGCAAATCAGTTGGATTTGACCGCCAACAATAGAATGGTTAAAGCCCAAATATTGAAAGTCATTGTGACACATTTTGTTGAGAATGGAGAGTTAGATGAAGAATTTCTAGAAGAGTTAAGAGAGGAGTCGAGTGATCAGATGACGTTAAAGCGTCTTGAGTTAGAAGCTCGCCAATTAGAGCTTGAAGCTCAAAAGGAACAGAAACAATTAGAGCTTGAAGCTCAAAAAGAACAGAGAATATTAGAACTTGAAGCTCAAAAAGAACAGCAAATATTAGAGGCTGAAGCTCAGCAGAGGGAGCTTGAGACTAGACGTTTAGAAATTGAGGCACAGTTGCAAATAGAAGCCACAAAAAGGCAACAATTAGAGATTCAACAACAAATGGCTGACACTAACTTCAGGCTTGATACACAGCGTATGGCAGCTGGGCATGGAAATACTAGTAATGTTTCAATAAATAGTGATAATAATCCCATCAGGACGCATAAGTATATAGAGTTACCAAAGTTCAATGAGGAGGATCCTGAGGTTTTCTTTGCACATTTTTATAAAATTGCCATCAGTATGAACTGGCCAAGGGATCAGTGGGTAGCCATTATGCAGTCTCAATTTAAGGGGCGTAGTCAGGAGGTTTTCACATCCCTACCTGACGCTCATAGTTTTGATTATGAATTTGTAAAGAAAAGCATCTTAAATGCTTACCAGTTAAATCCAGAGGCACACAGGCAAAAGTTTAGGAATCTAAGGAGGATAAGGGATCAGACAATAGCAGATTTTACTCGTCAGAAGACGAATTTTTGTAACAGATGGTTAAAGTCACTTTCAGTCACAGACTTTGATGCTTTAAAGAATCTTCTTATAATGGAAGAAGTATTGTCATGTCTCCCAGATCAGTTGTCTACTTTTATGGCAGAACAAAAGAATGTAACAGACATTTATGAGCTGTCAAAGCTCGCGGATGAGCATGAGTTGTTGACTAAGGCCCAGTTTACGGCCACTTCACCTAAGTCTAGTCGTAGAGTAAATTATAATGCTCACTGAACTCCTTATCAGAATCCCTCCAGTCCTAGTACTCCAGTTACTCCCATGAGCTCTCCTCTTACAAAACCTAACCCTGCTACTTCATTGTCAGGAATGTCAAATAATAATAAGGTTATTTCTAAACCTACAGTTGGTTCTACCAGTGTGTCCACTGTAAGGTTCTGTTCCCATTGTAAGAGAAAAGGCCATGGAATTCATTCATGTTTTATATTGCACCCTGAGTTACGACCAACTGGTCTCATTTATTGTAGAGGTGTGCAAAATAAACTTACTAATAAACATGTAACTGTAAACCCCAATTGGGTGAAACAGTATTCACCATATATGTCTTCAGGTGAAGTTTTGTGTATTAATGGGAAGTGGAAGCCAGTGGTTATTCTTCGTGATACAGGTGCTTCCCAAACCATAATTTCATCCAGTATTCTTTCTGATGTTGAAAAGAGAGATACTGGAAAGTTTGTTGTTCTTCAGAGTGTTGCAGGATGTAAAACTGTACCTCTAATAGACATTAATTTCAGATCCACCATTACACCACGTTTATGCACTGTGGGTGTTAGTACACAGTTGCCCATCCCAGGTGTGGATGTTATATTGGGTAATGATGTGGCCATAAATCATGTTGTGGGTGAGAATGATCCCCGTTTGTGTAAACAGCCAGTTGCAGACCATGTTTATTCTGCCTGTGTTGAAGTTAGTTCTATGAATGAACCTGTTGTAGAAGATGGTTTTGTCCATTCTACCTGTGCTGATGTCAGTACTAATATAAATCCAGTTGTCAGTTCTGATGTTGTTACTCAAGCATTTGTTCCAGTAACCAGTACCCCTTCAGTGGAGAAGTGGGATGTGGTTGTTCCAGATTCCTGTGTGGCCGATTTAGTTGTTGAGAGTAAGCCTGATACTATGACTCTGCTTTATTCCAATAAATTGGGAAAGGATGTCCATGTACCATTGTCTTGCCCGCTCACTACGAATGTTGTGCCAGGAGTTGAGAGAAACTTAAAAGCCACGACTCTGTATTCCAGCCAAGTGAATGGTTTAGGACAAGATGTCGGGTTGGCAGAAGTATTCCCGCTCACTCCAAGTTTAGAATCAGTTGTCGAGAGTAAGTCCGTTGTGGAGGCCCCGCCTCACCCTAGTCAAGGTGATATAATAGGGGAGGAGGTCAAACTACCTGTTACTTGCCCGCTCGCTTCAGATTCCCTTCATTTATGTGCTTTGAGTAGAACTGACCCTAAGATTTCAGAGAGAAGCAAGGAGACAGTCTGTACTGTAGATCCAGTTTTGGAGAGTGTGGGAAAGCAGCCAGAGGATCAGCTTCTGTTGAGTAGATGGAGACCCATTGAGCCTCCCTCTTCAGTTGTCTGTGAGGATGTGACCCAGCTTGGTAGTGATATTATTGATTGTGAGCAGACAGTACTCCAAGCAGCTCCAGAAGTCATGGGAGGAAATTTTGATAAAATCATTAAGAGTGGTAAAGTAGCATTTGGATCTAAGTTGCGGAGTTGTGATTCTTATTCTATGTGGAGTAAGTATTTCTCATTGTGTACATTGAGTCAGAGTGTGTGTAGGATGTTGAAATCTACTTTTATTCTGCAGGAGCCATTTCCTTGTGAAGTAATGGACTGTGGGACATCTTTGGCAAGCCTTGTGGTTGAGCAGAGAGAGTTTACTCAAGTAGGTTGTGCATCCAGTTCTGAGGAAGTGGTGAGTTATGCTAGAGCAGTGTCTCTATATTCAGATCCCGTAAATTTTGATGCACGAGTGATAAAAGTGTATGTTCCACTTAAGTGTGGTGTTGACTTTCAGAGTCATATTGTGGGTGAAGGATTAAATCATACTGGGGAGCAGATGTTTGAGGCTCCAGGTGTGTATT